ACTCTCAGTTCTTTTCAAACCTCTTTGGATGATTTTTAAAGTCACTTTATCCTTTTTGTTCATGTCAATATTTTTTTTTTATTGTTCTGAGATCTCTGTTCAAATGTCTCGAGGTTTCCAATGTCGTGTTCTTAAAACTCAATTACATTTCGAAGTATTATTTCTCATTTGGTGGATGCGGTTGGCAATTGTGTGGGGGAAGAGATTGAAATCTTTCAAAGTAAATGAATTCAACATGCGGGAGATTTTATATGTATTGATACATAGAAAAATATTATTCAAGAGAGAAAAATATACTTGTGACAGAAAGACCTTAAACACAAAATTATTTATAGGATTGAAAATAGCGTGAGAGAGAGAGAAAGAGCTTGTGTGTTTGTTTGTTTGTTTGTGTGTGTGTGAGTGAGTGCGCCACTTAGGTTAGATGCGATTAAGTAGTCGGCTTTTCAGAGGAAAGAGATACTCCCGGCGTGGACGAGTTCCGACTTGTCACTGCTGCCTCTTGGAAACAAATAAGAAAAAGGAGTGATATCAGTGTGTGAATTTTGGAGACTTATAAAACTAATGTCTCAGTAACGGTTACATGATGTCCTCAAGGACACATAACTCAGTGGATAAAGGCGTTGACTGGATTCAGTGATTTAACACAAATAGTTCAAAACTTTGAGATTTGTGTTAAAGGGAGATAACTGAGACATCTGGAAGTGGAAGTATAACAATCTACCTCGGTGGCAAAATAAAGGGTTCAGTTCGAAATTAGAATCACCTGAAGAAGCTTAAATCGTACAACGACCGAAACGCCGGGAATATGACAATAAATAACAGTCCGACCAATGTAAATAATATTTTTTTGCTCATACTTGTCGCTTGTGTAACTCTCTTCCGGCTTATTGCTTTCCAGTCAATTTTTATCATTAAAATGTAAATGCAATGCCAATCGACATTTTCTCTCTTCTTAATTCCTGTTCTTTTAGTGTTCTCTATCCTTAATAATCTTTTTCACATATTCGAACAACTTCAGTAACCTGCTGCGAGTTAGTTGCTTTATTGGTACTGTGCGAATATCTTTGAAATATATCAACATCACTTGTTTAATATTAATTATATAGTGAATACATAAAGAAATAATAAGTAAGTAATAAGAAAGCTCTTATTATACATAAACGCACACACACACACACACACACACACACACATATATATATATATATATATATATATATATATACATACGCTGCATGTGTATGTCTATTTAATAAAACATAGTTTTTAGGTAGGCTACATTTATGGTTAGAAATAGTTGAAGAATGACGAAATCTCCTGAAAAAGTATCTAATGCAATCAAAGGCAAAGCTCTCCGTAGCAACAGCAAATATAATGAAAACCTACCGTCTCATCGCCAATAAACGTTATTTCACACGGAATAATGATTTTTACCAACAATAATTTGGGTTATCAATGGGTTCCCCTCTTAGTGGAATGTTGACATGTATCTTATAATTTTTCGAATCTGTTCTTTTCGAAAATATTTTACTCAATCAAGATACTTTCGATATATCGATGACGCTCTATTAATATATCCTCGTGATACTGATTTACCTGACCTAGCAGATAAACTAAACAAAGTCGAACACACAGTAGAATTTACATAGGAAATGGGAGAATAAAATTCCTTAACTTTTCTTGATATCAAGCTATAGCGCGTTAACAATAATTTAAACCTGGTGATCACCGGAAATCAACCAACAAAATGATCTAATAAATTCCTATTCACATCATAATAATAGAATAAAATCAGGTATAAACATCAGTTTCTACTTAAGAGCAATCACAATTTGCAGCCCTCAGTATTTCTATTATGGGGAGAAATACATTGAAATCATTTTCAATCTTTCTTCAGGGCCCTAATTATTTTACATTAAATACAAAACAAAATGAATATAAAATATTCCAAAATAGGAAAATGGCCCCTCCTGACAAACAGAATAAATCAAAAAATGTATTGTCTTACCAACTAAATCTATGACATCTAAAATTGGAAAGAATCTATGTAAACTCAACATAAAATTTGTTACTACTACATCTAAAACAATAAAAATTCAATACTAAACAAAATAATGAGGAGGAATTTACTCGATCGCCTGTAATAATTGTTACAAAAATACATAGGAGAAACCTCAAGGAATCTAAATAAATAATTATATGTCTACCAAAGTACATTTTACAAAATGATACATCTAATGAATTGGCTGACCACTGTAAAGTTACTGACAACAATTTACTCTGATCAAAGGAGAAAGCAATTCACTACGACGAGCATGTCTAGAGAAGCCATCTACAATAAATTTACGCTCTAGATCTTACAACATTTTACCATTCCTGGCAGAATTTCTGTTGTCACACACACACACACACACACACACACGCGCACACACACACACACACACACACACACAAATATATATATATATATATATATATCCTTTTCAAAGATAGGCATAAGAAAATTTTAATTGTAAATCCAACCAAAAGATGATTGCTACAAGATTTTGCTGAGTTTCAACGAGCCACATAGAGAGGACGACAAGCGACATTCCCCCTCCCCCACATAATATAAATATAAAAAACAACCAACCAAATACAAAAGTATTGCAACATCTCGCTACATTTCGCTATTATAAATGAGGGTGACATCTATAGACATTACTCACACACACACTTATATATTTACATGAGTTAACGTTACCGTCCAACGTACACCTAAATACGAAAGCGTTCCTTTACATACACACTCTTAGACTATCACATATTTTAATGTCCAACATGCTCCTCACATATATTTATATATGACCTATTATGTTTAGACATATTCTGACCAATAAGAATTAACCAAAAATCTTAACTTACTACTATTCTGTCTCTTTCCTTTTTTTCATTTCTATCTCGATCTCTGGCGAAGCTTTAATAAAAGTGAAACATGTTAGATTGAGATACGTTTACTACTTGTTCTTTATTTTATTTTGTCATATTCACGTGAACAAAACCTCATGGATCAAGGCCGATACGTTAGACATTTAGACAGCTTTACATAATACGTCCAAAAACGAAATCACTTCTAGAAATGCGAAGAATTAATAAAACGCTTAATCACAGTCTCTTGTCAGTCGTCTTCAATGAAATTAATATCTATATATATATATATATATATATATATATATATATATATATTACATGCATATATATATGTATGTGTGTGTGTCTGTGTGTGTGTATAAATAGAAAGAAAGAACAGTAAGATATATAATGCGGTGTTCTTATTGATATTTTTTTTATTTTTACAAAATTGTGCTCTATGTAAATTTACAGAGCATAAATTTTATCAATTAACTGATTTAAAATATGTTTTTCGCTACACTGTAAGAACCATGTTTCAAAAATGGAAGCTAAAAACTTTACTGAAACGGAACTAATGATTTTAATTTAATTATATAAGTAAATTTGAGTTTTTAGCTTCCATTTTTTGAACATGGTTCTTACTGTGTAGCGAAAAAAACATATTTTAAATCAGTTAATTTATAATATATATATATATATATATATATATATATATATATATATATATATGTATATATGTATATATATATAAACTTATATGCATAGAGAATTATCAACGGTTTTATGAACGTAAATGAGATTGAACGAAACAAAATTGAAAATACCAGTGTTTCTGTCTTTTTGTCTGTTTTCTCTCAATCTCTGACGAAGCTTTAGTAAAATTGAAACTTTTTACATTGATATAAGGATCCGGCTATAAAGTAATCGGCCTTGTGATGTAGTCAATCCTCACTTGAAATTTCGAATTCATTCACTTTCACGCTGTTGTGACGTGACTCCCCTCTGTCTTTCATGATAATTGTTCAAATGAGTTACCCCCGTCCCCTTGACTGCATGAATTTAAACGTACGAAATGATTTTAAAATAGGTTTCATAATTTTACCGTTGAAATAGTTAGAGGTAACCGGAACTTCTATTCTAATAACTTCATTTCACGCACTTATCGCCTGTAGAAATGCCTTCCAGTTTCTTATTTCACTGTCACTTTCGTACTTGGAAAATTTAAATGAAACGTTAATCTCCATTAACAGTCTTCCTGAAACCTTTTCTTTTGTTGTCCTTTCTCCTTTACGAAACGCTTCTCATTCTTTTTCATTCTGCGAAACACCTTGTTCGTAAGTGTCATTATCAATTGGCTTAGGGTACAAAATTTAAAATAAGAGATATTTTAGAGCAGCACACAAATGTTTCTACTTAGTGATTGGGTAAAATGTGCAGTTGTTATATGCCCGACAGCTGTATATTTTCAAAAAATGAGTTCTGTTTTCTGAAACTATTTTATGTGATTTCAATGATTAAAATTAACCCCGAAAAATCGTGTTCATATGGTATTCAAATTTATATCTTTCCCATTATTTTATTCATATTTCAAAAGAGGTGACGCATTATCTTTTCTTTCTTCATATGATCCGCTATGCCAGATTTAGTGTTCTTTTTTCATTTTCTCTCTTTCTAAAGTCGGTTGTAAATACGCCTGCCAGTGGAAAATGTATTACTCGCTTTTCATATGCTTCCTCGCAGGATCAAATTGTATCTTTAAAACGTTCGCAAGCGTACCATAAGAACAAAGTATTTCAAACAGACAGGGAAACCCTCGTAGATGTTATTGGTTAGATAATATATTTTTCGTTGTCAACAGAATCGGTTTTTTTCAATACAAACGGAAAAAAAAATGTTTTTTTTTTAAGAAAGAAAAAGAAGTCTCCGAAAGCTTTATGCATATATTTTATTATGTCTATTTTTATGCATACCTTTTGCTTAATTCCCAACACAGATTTCGAATATTATATACCATGCTATTAATTCAAGACTAATGTCCTATTTAGGTGTGTTTGGAAATATTTATCACAGATTTGAAGGCTTGATTGCTGACATTTATTGGCTACTAAAAATAAATAAATACATATAAGAAGCCTCTAACACGAAGAGAATAGATAGATAGATAGATAGATAGATAGATAGATATACACTGAAAAAGTTATCATTGCGATTTGATCGACATCGCTTTCCCATATCAGAAAGTGTCTTTGACACCCTTAAAAAATATTTTTTTCTATCCCGTGACTCGTAGGGGCACCATGTCTATTGAGGCTATCATAGTAGTTACTTTTCTTGGGCAAGATAGCCTGATGGAGGCCAACCCTCTCCAGACCGGTTTTGAATTCAGAGTTTTTCCCATCCGAGGCTACAAAACCCAGTCTGTTTAAGAATCCTCTTCTTCCATCTATGGGGGAGAAGGAGACGATCCATCCGTTTCACATGGTTATTAGCACGTAAGTGAATGTAATGGATTCGACTGGAATTCGAACTCGGCTCTCCGATTCCTCAATCCCAGCCACTTTCTAATACCCTACTATGCCTCCTCTTTCAAAATATATGAACCTGGAAATCGAAATTACAAAAATGGGACACTCTTCTAATAATAAGAATTGCGCTTGGAATAATTAAAAAGGATACTTATAAACACATTAAGAATAGCGATCACTATTTTAGATTGTCCCATAGGCGTCGCTTACATACTCAGAATAACTCCTTCAATGTAATATACTGAAGAGTTCTTAATCAAAACCTTACGTTTGGTCCCATATTGGAATTTAGGCTTTGGTATACAATAGATTTACCTTGTGATATTTTCCTAACACGTTGTTTTTGTCGGAGTGGTCAAGTAGATTTTGTTGAAGCATATTTGATAAGCGGACTTGTTTCTATCGGTTGCTGATATTAGTACCCGAATGAAGACATTAATAAATGACAAATGTATACGAAAGGCAATGGCGACATGAGTCTGCTGGGGTTCCTTTTACCCATTGGCGTCCAGCGGGGGGTTGTCCTTGGTACTGAAAGTGAAACTCTTCTGCAGAAATTTTGGAGGCATCTACGTCGACGTCTTAGAATTCGATGGCTTCTTAACTGATTCCGCATTTAAGTCATTTATTGGAGATTTTTGTGCGTCAGATAATTAGGCCGAGTAGTTTCATCTGGCTTCTTTGTTGAACGCTTAAGCTTCCAGTGAATCAATTGACAATTGTTGACACTCCATTTATCGGTTTTATCTGAAACAAAACTGTATTGCTTGCTCATGTTAAATTAATTCTCTCTGAAAACTTTTAATGACTATACTGAGACTACTGATCGAATTGACTGGGTGAATATAAGAATTCCTTGAACTTTCTTAAGCTGAAAAGCTGTTGTTATCTTTCATGTGCCTCCTTTTTTTGTCACCGACTCAGCTCAAAGCTGAGAAGAATATAATATCAAGAAGACAACAGCTTAGGAATCGGACACGATATGTACCTGAGAGGATTTACATGACACTTCAGAGATGGGGAGAGCTGCATTTTAGAACACGACATACACTCAAGGAAGACCAGACGGAACAAAGTCAAGATGTTAGATTGAATTTGCCCAGGTTAAATACATTTAGACGTATCAGTTAATATGCTATCGATAATATTGATCATTGATGACAATGTCATGAGCAGTAACCCTCACTTATCTGTGGAATTTAGTCAATGTTTCATTTCTCCACGACATACACTGAACCAGAATTGGTGCTAAAAACGTTATTAAATTGAAAAACTATTTTAAAGAATATATTTAAAACATATAAATATTAAAATCAAAAATTTAGAACAAAATATTGCACAATATTCGAATTTGGAACCATGAAACAGACTTGGAAATGGAATATTCAGAAGACGTATTGATGGAAGGGGTTGTAGAGTGTAAATTATGTAATGGATTTGATTGAATTTTGGGGACAGAGCGTATAAGGCAAGATTGTTAAGTGTAACACGTTGTTAATAATTGCAAGGGTTAGGAAGTGCTGGAGAGCCATGATCGCTTATGTTTTTAATCGTGAAAATGAAACAGAAAGAGAATAAAAAACTGAGAATAGAGAGGATTGTGCAAAGGACAAAAACGGAATAGGCTTCAAGAAGACAAGATGGCGACTGACATTGCATATACATTTTTGAAGATTGTCGTTATCAGGGAGGCAAGAAATCGGGAGAGAGTTTTACAAACTTTTGGAGTATAAATTATGGTGGCAATTAGCTGGTTCAACAGTAAACGACATGACTGAGTCGGTAAACGACATGACTGAGTCGGCATGCTTAAATTTATAATTGGAGCACCAGGAAAAAACACATTAGAACAGTTGCTATGAAAATATTTGTAGAAAGAAGAGAAGGAAACTACGTCCAGTCGTTGAGAAAGTGGCTGAAGTCGAGATGACAGATCGGTTACATTACATACTCTTCTTTGAATTTTGTCAAGAATCCCGAGATCTACAGCAGGAACATCAGACCAAATATGGCAACAGTATTCAATGCACAGACGAATGATAAATTTATAAATGCGCAAAATGGATTCTGATGAGAAAGATTTTCGCTCTCCTTGAACGTCTGTAGAAAAACGTGAGTCCAGGTCCTGAAGCAGGATGACAGAGCAATAAAGATGCTTTCACGGTGAAAATATTTGGACGTACCTCCACTTTATGATTCATTACTATTCACGTATCTGTCCGCGAGGGATGAAGTCTTACTGTATTGACAGTTGAATTATCGGAATTGATTCTTGTGATGTGTTTAAGACAATGGACAAATTCGGATTCGTACAAAAATAGACGGATAGATATTCATCTGGCTTCGAAAACGTAGTTATGATTTTGTTGTACGCAATGAATTTTGACAGCGCCCACGATCTTAGTCCTATATAATTGAAGATTGTTAAATATAACCGAATAATAAATTTCGAATAGCAGAATAACAGAAAGAACCTGTAGACCAGCAGAAATTCCATAAGTCTTGGAACTTCCGTTCACATTCCTTTGCATGTATCTTCTCATTTGCTACCTTATCCTTTAGTATCTGTCTATATTTCTGAGGTGAGGCATTATGCACACGATTTACATTATTGGAACTATTTTCTTCATCTTTGTCGCAATATTTCGCTATTTGGTTTCAGTAAGAAAATGAACGAAAGACGTGTAGATAGAAATGTTTAACGGCTCTCAGTGGAATGGAAAAATTGTCAATTTTAACATTATTCGGACTATTGTCCTCATCTTTGTCGCCATAATTATTACAACGTTTCGGCCGTTGTACGCTCCGGCCTTCTTCAGGTGGTTGGAATGTCGAACTGAACCCTTTATTTCGCTCATTGGGGTAGACTGTTCTAGTTCCACGTGCCATGTTTAATGGAAGTCAGTTATCAGTTATCTCCGGTTAATTCCCCTCTCCAAGTTCTCCACTGCCTTAACGACAGTGGATAAAGGCGTTGGTTAGATCCAGTGACAGGACCCAAACAGTGTGAGATCAATACCCTGGACTATGTTATTTTTCTGTTATAAGAGCAAATATATTCGAAAAAGAAAGAAAGAATTTAGGAATATTTTTAAGGAATATTCTTTTTTATTTAACATTAGCTATTTCTCTTTTTAAGGAATTTTAAAGAATCACGATGATTCGCCTTTCCATTTGTACCTGCCTTTCAGCATTTCACTCTTTGTCTCCTGAAATAAACCTGCGCTGAGGCATTTTTTTCTGTTCACCGCTATTATTTTCCCCTCTTTCCATACATCTACAATGCTTACTTCCTATCTTGTCATAGACTTTTCCAAATAAGCATAACATCTTGAAAGTATCACGGGTCGGAAAGAGACTATATTATGATTCTAGATAGAAAGGCTTAATCATTGTTTATATAAATAATCAATATAACATTACAAGCATTGAGAAGATTTCAGGAGCCATGAGGTCATTAAGTACTTATGAAGATACTGTTGTGAGATACTACTACTACTACTACTACTACTACTAATAATAATAATAATAATAATAATAATAATAATAATGCAAGGCGAGAGAGTTACAATGTCTGTCCAAACGCAATCTCTCTTGTGCTCATAGATCTGGGTTTGTAGATCACGTGATGTCTCCCCCAAGTGTGTTTATATATATATATATATATATATATATATATATATATATATATATATATAGCGGCCATAATATAAGGAACGGAAACAACAAAGACATAAATATGTGTATTACTTAAAAAGTAATGCATGATTAGCAATGAAATTTTTATCGAATAAATATTAGGATGTAATGCATAAATCTTATACAAAGTTACAAAAATTTACATAATAGTTTTTTTTGGAAATAAGATTAAATGGAACAAAGGAAATAAGCTACTGGACAAAAGTTAAGGAACGATCTTGTTAATACTTGATTGTGAACAAAATATTACCAAAATTTAATATTTGGTAAACATCCCTTTATTTTCAATGACTTCTCTGCATCGTCAACCACATGATCTAATTAATTTCTTGCAAAAATCAGCAGTAATTCCCTCTCATTTGTCTTTCAATAACTCCCATAGGTGATCCTGGTTTTTCGGGTTTCTTTTATGAGCCCTTTCTCCAATTATCTTTTCCATTGAATTCAGGTCGGGGCTCTGGGCTGTCCACTTCATTAGGACGATTCCTTCTTCAAATAAAGCCATAAACTTCTGAGCCTTGGGGCAAGATGCATTTTCCCTGCATGAAAATAGGAGATTCATAAAGATTATGGTGTAATCTTGGTACCACATGCTGCTGATTAAGCCTTTTGTAAATGTCAGCATAGCTATTGCCGTGTACGCGGATGATATGTCCAACTCCTGTATATGAAATACTTCCCCACACCATCACTTAAACTTAACGGTTTTCCTGACACCTGTTCTACGGCGTACGCAAGTTTTGCCCTCAGAATCAAATATAGTAAACTTGGACTCGTCACTGAAATGAAATGTCTCCCATTGTACGTCAGTCCAAACGTGTTCTCTCGCATACTCCAGGCGTGCCCTTTGGTTTCGCTTTGAAATGAGAGGCTTCAAATCTGGAATACGGGCATGCAATTCTGTATTTTTTTAAACCTGCGAGCAACCGTTTTATGCGTCCTATGACAAGAATCGAACATGTATCCCATACGGAACCGTCATGTTGCCTGACGTGCCTTAACCGATTG